TGTTACTTTCCTCTTGTTCCCTCTCACTCCTTTCAAAAAGTATTTGGGCATTTGGTTATGTTGTTCAAAAGTATATTCTCAGTTTAAAAATAAAACAAAACTCTCCTTCATGCCAGGGGCCACGTGGTTAAAAAATAGCCACTTATATTTCCAATATTTTTACAAGGTTTTATTGAGTTCTGTGTTTCTGGGTGTTGAGAAAGAAAATATGAAGCACCTTTCTTTTTAACGTTTCCCGTGGCTGGGTTGAAGGGTCTATTTGTGTTTGGGGAGAGTTTTTTTTTTTTTTAGTAATATGGTTCAGAAACTCCCCATGCAGTTGGACAGACCAGGGTGTATCAGGAGGTTCATGTTACCAATCAGACATTCTTTTTTTGGGGGAGGGGTGCAGAGAACCTTGTAAATAAGGGGGGAGTCACTAGTAGGACAAGTATCCCAGTTCATATTGGGGACCCAGTCTCTTTCAAGGCTCCCAGGTCACTTATTCACCTTGCATGCCTGTAAGGGTTTGCATCTATTACACTGAAGATACATCAATAGTGGGATTAGAATAGATGATCCTTCCCATGCACATTTGAATAATGCCTGAATGCTGCTTTCATGCAGATGAGTGTTAACTGCTTCCCCTTGAGAAGGTTGTTCATGGTCTGTGACTTACAATGGCCATTTTACATTCAGATGCCATTCCTTGACCATGCCTATATGAGAATACCCTGTGACTGAATAAGAGATACATGTGCAGATTCCAGTGGACAGGATACACATCATTACCCACAAATCAGTCCACTGTCTCTGTATGTTCCCACTCTCTAATTCACTTTCCAGTAGCTACACATCATCAGTCTGGCCCAGTAACCCAGCAACACAGAACCACATTGTGCTGGGTAACGGGATGCCAGGAATTGGGAGCATCATTTGCAATTGTCCCTGAGGATAGTCTCCTCTTTTGTTGATAGGAGCAGATTCCTGGATGCTCTACTTTGTCAGATGCAGAATAATTGCGGCCGACTTACAAAAGACTGAATGGAGGCACTGAAAAGCAGCTATTAGAAATGAGGAGACTTGTGCCTGTTACATTCCAGAACAATCTGGAAGGCAGCAGCAAGGAAAATAAAAACCTCATCAAGCAAGAGAAACAAGCACCGTGTTCCAAACCTTTCACACATTCCTGATTGATTTGAGGCTGTATGCTTGGTAAGCTCAGATGCAGTACTCATTTTCAAGGCTGTCTGAAAAGGGCACTGCAGCAGAATAAACAGTTTCCTCAAATGAACTCCTTGAGTGTTCTCATTTGCCCTTGAGTAGTGGACATTCCTTAGGACTGGTGAAGCTTGGCAAGACCCGCCATGCCCTGTGTTGGAGGCCAGATGCTGCTGCTAAGTTCCACTTTCAAAAAAAAAAAAAAATCCTTAAGTGAGTTTCTGTGGTTGAATATCCTACCATGCCACCCTTCACACAGCTGAACTTTTTCCGTTACCAGGATCCCAGTCCAAAGACAACTACAGCACAATCCTATGCATATTTACTCAGAATTAAGTCCCACTGGGTTCAGCAGGACTTACTATTTTGTGAATTACAAAAGACTGCAGCCCTGCTGTTTTAAATACCATTAAAATCAACAGGATAACTTAGTTGTGAGACAGCTACATCCTACTGAGATTTAAGGTTTGGTTCTAAGGGTATGGATCCAGTGTAATCTAATGACAAAGACAACAATTTCCATCATACTCTAAGGATGCAGCAAGTTTTGGGGTTGCTTAAAAAGTTGGAACAAAAAAGAAAAAGGAAAAGGAAATTTGCTATCCAAAGTCACCACAATTGCCTTCCAACCACTGTAGCCATTTGCAAAAACACCAGAGATCACAAACATTAACACAAAATGGAAGCAGTAACAAAGCAGCAACCTATCTGCATTTGGCTGTACTGATATTTGAAAACAAAGCATAAGAGCATAATGGTAAAGAAAGAGTCTGTAGAAAAGAATGGCATAGGGAATTTTGGCTGCAGAATGAGCTCTACTCCCCACACCTTTGGTCCGGCAAGGCTCCTATGTTTATTCCTCTTATTTAACGTATTTATAACCTAGCATTTTTCCTGCAAAACCCCAAGGCAGCATACACAATCCTTTTCCTCCTCTCCATTTTATCCTTACAACCACCATGTGAGGTAAGTTGGGCTGAGACACCCAGTGTGCTTCATGGCCAAGTGGGGATTAGAACCTGGATCTCCTGAGTCCCATCCAAGAGTCTAACCACTACACCACAATGGCTCTTAGAAAGCCCAATATTGGTGTTTATATTCAGCAGAGAAAGGAGACTGAGCATTTTTCGAGTTTCCAATCAGGAGATGAACTCGGAATCAAAAACAGAAGCATCATTAGCCATGCATCTTAACTTTGTTTTGTTCCAGTAATCCTAGGACTGTGAACCTATTGCAGGACCCCCATATCTACTGGTTCAGTTAACGCATCTTCACTTAACCATGGTTGACCTCAGTCTGAAAGAGAAGTTGTAAAGTGTTTCCTTTAAGTGAAAATTATTGAGTTAATAGGGAAAGGGAAAAAAGTATGCTGAGGTTGCTAGGCTGTATGGTAAGAACAAATCTTCTATCCATGAAATTGTGAAAAAAGAAATGTATATGTACAGTATATAGTCTTTGTTATTATCCGTGGTTTCAGGCATCTGCTGCAGGGCTTGGAACCTATCCCCACAGATACCTGGTCCTGCTGTTCTTCTAATCTTAGTTCATAAAGAATGAACATTTGATGTGTTTTTCTACAAAAATGTGTAAATCCAACATTTCAACCTCACAGATCCATCTCAGAATGTCATTGCCTGCTGTGGACAAGACACTCCTTTCTGTTAATACTCCACATAAAAATGAAGCACATAAAATAAATTGTTTCCACATGCCCATTGCCAATGTCAACCACAGCTTTTCAGTAAAGGGTGGCACACATGGAGTTTTTATTAGCCACCAGAACAAACTTCATCAAAAGGGGGTAATAAAGAACTGTGCGGGCCCAAGAGCTTCAGAGTGAAAGGTACATGTCTATGTGCTAAAGCAAGGGTGGGAAACTTGTGTCCCTCCAGATGTTTGGTCTACTATTCTCATCCGCCCTAGTAAGGGATCATGGGAGTTGTAAGTCAGAACACTGGGGGCACCAGTTGCCTACTCTTGCATTATAGGAATGAGCAGTAGAGCCCTGTAGTGTCCACAATTATGCAACTTCAGAAATTTCTGCAATTTGGTAAATTGAGAGCTACTGTTTCTATCATTCCTCTCTAGAATCTGCAAATCCTGCTAGTTGGGAGTTCAGTGTGGCTTTCCCAGTCAATACGTCACTTTCTGTAAATACAAAGTATTTCAAACATCGCAGTCACTCAGTTTCTAAACTTTAAATCAATAATGTAAATTCACCTCTGGAGAAGCTGAAAATGCTTCTCAGGAGAAGCTGAAATTGCTGCTCAGGTTATTTGGCTATCTGAATAACTACAAATGTCTTTTTAAATATCACTTGTGCAGCTAGGAAGAAAGAATCCACAGAAGTCTGATTGCGATAGGAATTACTGCATGTAGTGCATGAAGCTATTCTGGGTTGTCCTATTGAGCTAAGTAACACAGTTGCACAAAGAAATCCCTCAGCCCTGGAAACCTAAAACAGCAGAAAGGCAACACAGAATCACTAACACCATGTTTACACATAGGACAAATGACTTGCCTAAGGGCACAACAAAAGAACCTGCTTGAGTCACCTGGCTTCGCCTCCTATGCTTTATTGGGCCCCAGACAGAAAAGGAGCAGTAAAACTTAATGTGCATCTTCCTCTGAAGTAACAGATCTTTTGCAATTGATCTCTCTTTATGGTAACTTGTGCTGCCACTATCATCCTTCTAACTTCCCAAGGGTCACACATTTCCCCTTGCCGCTTTCTCTCTTTTTCAACTTGTCAAGGGCACCAGTCCCAGTTGGTTGCACATGAAGAAGGTTGTGATCTGTGTGGGAGACAGAACTGCTGCTTTGGAACAAGAGATCTGAGAGTTTCAAAGAGGAAGAAGAGTGGGTGAGTGTGAAGTAAACTAAGCACGAGAGCAGGATATGAATAAATGCAAGGGAAAGAAAAATACCGTTTTGATCTTCTCTATAGATCAGACTCCCCCAATCTGACCACAGTGGCTGGGGAGTAGGGGAATTGGAATCCAGTGCATCTTGAGGGCGCCTGGTTGATGAAGGTTGGTGCAGATCTACCCAAAGAACTATTCTTCGGGGGGCAGGGTGCTTAAAATCTGTGAACAGTTTCAGATATTTCTAAAAAGGTATCCATTGGTAACACACTTTATCAGTAAAGTGTTGATTCTCAGAACCAGGGGCTGGTATGGGGGTAGTGATGCAGACTCAAATGGGTAAATGCTAAATCAGTGTTTGATAATAATGGAACTGGTCTTCTGAACAGATTCTGTGTTATGACTAGAGTTCTGAATTAAGAAACAATTTGTGATGTTTCACTTTCTAGACCTGGGCGAGGTAACCTCCAGATGGCTTCAGTTGTCATGAGCCCCAGCCACTAAGGGAGCAGGAATGATGGGAGCTGTAGTTCAAGTCATTTTAAGAACTTGGGTTTCCTACTAGACTCCTCTAGTAGGGATTCCTGGGCACACTAACATATTACTCAAAGGACTGAAGTTGCATTTTCATGTTTTATTGTTGCAAGCTGGTCAGAGAACACTATTATTCAGCAACATACAAATACTGTAAATAAAAATTTAAAATATTCCTAGTGGAAGACATCTTTGGCATCATTTGGCCACACTATTTAGCAGAAAAGGATTTTGGCAAGGTTTTCTATGCTTCATTCTGACCTTTTTGTTTCTTTTTGGAACACTGTATAGAGAGATACTTTCTCTAAAAGTAAAGCTTCTGTCTAGGAAATATAGTTGTTCCCAAATAACAACTTCTTTCTCAAATAAAAAGTGGATGCACTCAGGTACAGCAATCCTTACCTCTGCCAAAGCAAAGGACAGCTTGAATGGGACAGAGGCACTTTTCTATCTTCAGTAAAGGCCTCTGCTGGTGGAACAGCCCATCCAGTCAGGAGTTTCTTGGTATGCCCACAGAAAGTTCTGCAGGAGTCAGAGCACAAGGAGAGTGACCTCTTAAGAATTGTCAAAAAGAGATGAAATGCATCCTTCCAAATGTAGGCATTTTATTAAATAAGAATATTATTATTCTCACACCATAGTGTGGGAGAATGAGACCAGGTGACCTGCATTTGCCCTGCCCAGGTGCTGTTAATAAGATACTTTAAGGCCCAGCTTTTCCTTCTAAGTGGTATGCATCCAGTCTTGGTGTAGAGACAGTCCTTAAACAGAAGACACCTTCAAACAGAGAACTGTTCTTTGTAAAGAAGGACACATGGCCACCCTAGCTCATTTTGCCCGAGGCAGCAACACTGGGTGTCATAACACTGACAGGGAGGTGGTAATTGTTCACATCTATCTCAGCCTCAGTCCAGTGCTTTCGACATTCACTCTAGAAGCTTGTCACAGAAGTTGTGTCAGACTGGAGCCTGACACTAGAACAGCAAACAGGGAAGTCACCTTTAGAAAATATAAGCACCATCTAGAACAACATTAGCATCTGTAAGCCATTGTGGGTATCCTTAGGATTCCCTGAGTATGAATCTACAGGAAATATATAACATTTTGGCTGCATACTTTTGCTGCTAGGTATGCCAATAACCCACAAATCAGCTTTTGCTGTAATCACCAGAAGTCACTCTTCTCTTTAATGCTCTTGTGTTAAAGCCTTTGGGAACAAACGTGCAACATGTAATTAACTATGCTCACATGAGGATGGCAACAAAGTCACCATGAGCTCATTATCACCACACTACTAATTGTATAAATTAATCAGCCATAATAGGAGGCCAGGATGGATTAAGAGCTTAGAAGGGAACCCATGCTGTTGGCCTTGTTGTTTTACAAATTGCTCCCTCGCATTCATGTTTCCATAAAGCTGAAAACATTCCTAAGGGATCTTCTTTCCCTCTGGAAGGCCATGAAGTTTAACATTTGAAAGGGGCTCCTTCATTTTAATATATCACCAACTCTCTCCACCCTGGAAGAATTCCTTGCTGACTCAAATTGGAAGAGTTTTTTTTTGGGGGGGGGGATGTTAGGGAAGCTGCCTGATTGTACAGTCAATGCCTTTAAAGGGACACAATGTAACCACAGCTCTTTAGAAACTGTGCAACAATAAAGGCTGCGCATAGCACTAAATTCTCACTGCAGCGCTGAAAAGTGCTACTATTGTTCGTGCCCAGGGGCCCAAGGAGATGCATTGATACAGGGGGAAAGAAATCCAGACGAAGCAGGAGTTAAACTAGAATTTTCTGGGCTGGGACTTCTCTTTTCATGCTGGAGCAATGCTGTTTGCTAATGGAGAGGAGATTTTTTTGGTCTCTGAAAACAAATTGCTTCTTTTGATAAGAACAAGAGTCCTCTTTATTTTTTACAGGCCAGAAGGATTGAACGCAAGAGGCTACCTTAAACACAAACACACATATGCCTGCCTTTAAAGAGGACATGGTGGATCCTCTCTCAATTCAGCCTATGGGTCTTAGCACTGTACAGGGTAAATAGTTAAGCCTCAATCAGCAGAAAGGAAATGTTTGTCCTCAGAGCTGTAAGAATCTCTCCAAACTCAACTTTCCAGTCCTACAGCCTTGTGTTTGCTGGGCCTTTGCAACTTCCCATTTGGTTGAAAAGCCTAGGATTAAAGCAACCTCTGCAATTTTCTTCTAAGTCCTGTCAAGTTTTTGCCCAGCTGTCATCACCTCTTCTGAAAGGGATTATCAGGATCTTTGTTTTACTTGCATCTAAAGCAGTCTGGAGTCTGCTTGTGTAGCAATCCCTCAATCCAGAGCCAGCATAAACAAGCTGAGGGAGCTGTACTGCCACAGTTAGATTAGGGAATATAACCCATGTGCCTTGAGGTTGATGGAGGGTTAATTTTTAAAAACCTGATTTATATATCCTACTTTTCCTCCAAGGAGCTCAAGGCAGTCCACACAGTCCTCTTTCTCCGTCCCCAGCCCCACTTTATCCTCACAATAGCTATGTGATATAGGTCAGGCTAAAAGAGGGTGGCTGACCCACAGATGCTTCATGAACTTTCAAGTTAAGGGGGCTTTGCACCTGGGTGTCTCAGCCCTAGTCCAACACACCACCCACAGGCTATATGCGGCCCCACTGCCAAAATTCACAACAGCATTATCACCACCACCATTTATTGCTTCCAGTTATTGCTACAGAGAAGCAGGTAGATCAAATCTAATCTTTTTACTTCTCCATAGTCTCTATGGAGTGGTAACTAGGTCAAATTTTGCTTGAAAACAAGCAGTTTGCCATTAAATGTTGGCAGAAAATACCCCCCCCCCCCCGCTGCTGCAGAGCAATTCAACAGGGTGTCTGCAAGTGACTGTTCAGGAGGGAGGAATGGACATCGGACCCACCAGTTGCCCGCTCCTGCTCTAACTGCTATATTATATAAGTAAGAGCATCAGGCTTTAAAATTATTTTTGATAACATTTGAATTCAGAGCAAGACTAGACATTAGTAAAATGAATTAGGTGGTCAGTAAGAAAGTGTGGGGGGGGTGCATTCCCATTTGTCTTGACCTCCATGGAAAGCCTGCCCTGGTTTATTTTGTTCTTTGCTATTATCCTAGAAAACATAGATTAGACAGCAGCATTAAAGAGAATTGAAAATAAAAAATCTAGAATGCATATGTCATGATAAAAAATGAAAAAGAAAATTCATCCCTGATCACTAAATGTTTGCCCCAGAGAGCTCTGTGGTCCGTCCAACACACAGGCAACAACAACATGAATGACAAGTATGGAGGACAGACAGCCTTGGCTGGAATCATCCATATTCACCTGAGTACACACTCAGTGTAAGCGAGTTCCGGAAGAGTGTGTGAGGCTCTTTCATCATGTAAAGAACAGTATCTAACCATGCAATCTACTAAGGATTCAGTTCCACTGAGTACGATAGGGCTTGGTCCTAAATAAGTGGGCATAGGAGTGTAGCCAACATCACTGCAGGAAGTCCTGCTGGGAGGCAAATACATATTCTCAGTGAAAAAGCTGGATTTGTTCCCCAAGGAAACAAAGAATAAGGATCACAGGGTCCATTTACAATTTGAGCATTCACTGTACCAGAAACAGTATGGCAAACCTGTATTGGGTAAGGGTGAGTGACTTCAGCTGAATGATAGGTATTCTTTGTATCCAAAGCACATGAACATGTCAGGAGTCAAGATTCAACAATTCACATGATGACATGGAAGCAACACTTGTACGTAATATCCATTATACTTTTTACTTGTAAACAGGTGCAGCAATCATATTTAGGAACAACCACCTAACTGGAAAATAAATATCAAGAACTTTTCCTTATTTGGTAGCAGAAAACTGGGGAATTTGTGGCACAAAGATGGCAGCAGAAACATGCAAAGAGCAAAGCGGAGTGGGACTTGAGAAAGAACTCTGGCAGCACATTCCTTTTTGAAATGTATAACTGCTTTGTAAAGCTCAAGTGCCACTATGTCTAAGAAATATTGCATGGAAATTTTTGTGCCCAAAGTATATGTACTGAGAAAGCTAGACTTCAGTCCTAAACATGTCCACTCAGAAATAAGGATTGCTGAGTTCAACAGGACTTATTCCCAGGTATGTTAGAGAATGTGACCCAGAGATGCAGCTCAGGAATACAACCTGTCTTCATCTAAAATATGTCATGGAAACATTAATCATCCATCTTTCATATTTTCAGACAAGTCAATGACTTGAAGGAATAGCTTATTATCACTGGCTTCCATGACTTGGGTCCTATATTCATGACTTCTATCCTTGTTTGATTACACTTCTTGGAAATTCCTTTACACTTCTTTGAACGTCCTTTTCCAGCAAGGACTTCTTCTCATCTATCACCTTGATGGGCAATACACTGCTTCATAGACAAACGCTAGTTACCACTGCACTGTAAAAGTCATAGAAACCCCAAACAATTTTCCCTATAGTTGATGATTATCTATGAACTTCTGCTACCATAATTCCATCTCAATAAAATGAATACTAATAAGGCATTAAAAATGGAACACCCATAAACCAGAGAAGAAGGACTACAGTGATCCAGGAGACTGTCCCAGGAGTCCCCAATAAGGTACTTGCAAAGAGGTGCCCCCACAAAAGGTTAACTTTCCCCCATTTTTGAATATACGTACATAGATTTGTATAAAATGCATACAGCTTTCTAGCATTTACACATAGGCTTCAGCAAAAGAGGATCAAATACCCAAATAAGAATCCACTTGAAACTGACTTCTATATGCCACTCCTTCATATGGCAAAAGCATTATATGGTCTGCAATCCATGCATTATAGGAGGTGGGAATTTATCTTTGCTCCTTTGACAGGCTTTTCGCTGTCAAAGCAGCAAAACGAATCAATTTCCTTTTCCATTTGTTAATTTCTGTCAAGTGGTAAACTGAAGAGAACATATACATCAGTGAATACTAAAGATAATTCCAGTACAAAAATTATCTATGTAATAGCCTTCTCTAAAATCAATGAATACTGGACATTACCAAACCATAGGTTTAAAAGAAGCATTAGCTGTATTGCACCACCAGCAATTAGGTGAATTAGACAATCCCTTATTAAAGTGGCATTAATGTGCCAAGCAGTCACAGAACAAACTTTTGGTTAAAGAAGATGCAGTCTAAGATCCATAGATGTGACATATTGATGGCAAAGAAGCGATCAGGTATTTTGTGGTGGTGTCCATAGTGGTTTCTCAAATGTGCCCATGGTTCTGAAGAGCTTGTGGATCTCTGCTCTATACCATGCACAGATCATCATTTCTATAGGGTGTATGGAGACCCAAGGATTTAGTTGGTGCAAGAAACCATTCACTGGAAATTGTGAACAAGTTTGACTCTTCCTCAGGATCTGAATTGAGTTTATGAGTGGTTTGCCTCCTCAAAATAGTTTCATTGTATTATATATTGACTTGATGTTTAATCCTGGAAGAATTGCTTAGAATAAATTGCTCTGCAAATATTCAGATTATATTATACCGACACTCCAGTAATCAGTATATATTATCCTGTTCTCTTTTGATACGCTATTAAATTTGATTATCTGCTAATACATTTTAGATGTGACAGTGAAAGAAAGTGTATGTTACCTTCTCAGCTCACATTTAGGCCAAAATTTACAAGAGTTATATAATGATAGGTTGATTTGATTACTTATTTTATAACTGTTGTTTTTAATTCTCGGTTTCACACTTGTAATTTTTAAAAGAGGCATACAAGCTGCCTTGTGTTTAATTAGAGAAAAATGGATTGTAAATGTACCTATGTTTGGGGACATGCAGAGAGAAAAATAATTTATAAAGACTTGTGGCGTTACTGTGATGAAAGACTTTGTTCATGTTGTGGTTGCTTCCCAACACACATCTTTAAAAACACATTGGGAAATGCAGAATCTAAAGCATATTCCTAGGATTTCCTTTCTAGTACTGGCCACAGAATCCAGAGCTGTCTAACACATTTGCCATTACACAATTATAGCTAACCCTTCCATCTTCCCAACACATAACACAAAATATCCTATCTTCTTATTACCAAAATTGCATGATTACTACACTGAACACTGGACACACAAGGAGAGGAGGTATGATAGAAGCAGTTCGCTTACTAAAGTAAATCAGATTGTTCTAGTCTAAATGGTTGGATAAATCTTTGCCACCCTTTGTATAAACTGTACTATAAACTGAATATACACACTGGGTTGTATAAAGGATGCTTGTGTAGCTCCTGCCAGAACTTAATAAACTGTAAGCTAGGGTGGGGGGATCCTTTTTGATACCTTCTGTTACTAATTCAGCTTTGAGAACTCCTCAGTCCACTGCAAATGCAGTTACTGAACAAAATTTAAAACCTCATCTTCTTTCTGTATAAGAGGGATATAAAACTGTGGCCCTCTAGATACTTCTAGATAGCAACTCCCACCATCCCTCATCGTTGGCTATACTGGCTGGGGCCTGTTGTAGTCCATCCCCATCTGAAGAACTGCACATCCTCACTCTTGCCATATGGTGCTAGTCAAATGGCTGCCTACAGAAAACCAACAAGCAGGACATGAGCGCAACAGCACTCTCCCAGCACTCTCCCAGGAACTGGTGTGTGTAGGCATCTGCCTTTAATATGGGAAGTGGTGCATGGACATCAGGACAAGTAGCCATTGCTAGCTTTATCATTCCTGAATTTTCCCAGTTCCTTTTGAAAGCCATGCAAGTGAATTCCACGGTACCACTGTGTGAAGATGACTTACTTTCATCTTCCCTGAATCTCCACAACATGCAACATTTTTGACATCCCTATCATCTTGTTTCTAATCTAGGCCATTTCATATGTTGTAACTTTCCCTCATAGGTGAGTTATTCCAGCCTCTTGGACATTTTAGTTGTTTAGAATGCTTAATCAACAGATACAATATAAATTAA